GGTTTATTGGATTTACCACACTACACTACGATTACTCAATTTATCAGCATTTGGCCGATGCATGATGCATCAATTAATGTACCTCCCAGCCAATAAACAATAAGCAGTGTAGTAAGTGTAGTACATTTTACTGGAATGGCCTGTTAAAGTGAGACACATTATTTCCTCAATAGTCATGGTATTATCATTTTCTCTTTATGGCACAACATGTGCGGAGTAGTTGAAGTCATCAATTGGATAGTTACATGGAATCAAATCAAATGATACATATTTGAATATATCTATATTTGATCTTGCTATCTGAGTTTATAGTCATGTGCAGTTTCCCACTGTAGACTGTAGACATTTTAAGAATCTTTTCTGACAAAATCAAATTTGGAACACAATATTACTTTCAAACTAGTGTTTTTTATGGAGGGTACCTTTTCTATGCTTTTATAGATTTTCAAGAATGTTCTGATATATGGTACACTGTCTACACTGTAAGCACTAAAACAATAAAATCAAAATACAATATGAAAACAAAGGGAAAAGAAAGTAAAGGAAGTGTCGGAAGTTGAAGAAAGATGGTATTATTATTTCTGCTTGGATATCCTGGTGTGAATTTGCCAGAGACATTTGTCTGAAGTAATAGCTTTGTCAGTTATGTCATTGACTCACCATGGGAGACAGTCAAGGAGGGATTACATTTTTGGGCACTCTATCATTACAATTCGAGAACTGCTGACTTGGATATTAGCTCCCAATAGGGAACAACACTTTCAAACCCTCCCATGGCGCATACTGTGAATATTTCACATAAAAAAGGGAATGAGATATAAATGAAACCAAACAATTATTTGGTGTTTACATGGAAAAAAAAACATGTTGGAATGTCAAGGTTTCCAACAAGAGAAACTTGTTTTGTTCCCTTCTCTCCTACATGCTTTGAGTGACGCATCCCCTGTTGAGCCACGGTACTCCAGACTGAGCATCATTTTGAAAGGCACTCTGTGCATCTTCTGTCACCTAAAGCAGACATTGTGACTATAAATGAAAGTAAATTTTATGTTTGTTTGTTTCAGAAAGTTTAGCAAAGATGTGATTCATACACCCACATAAAGGTCAAATAGTATTTAGAGAAACTTTCAGTAGCCTAATAATTGCAGTAACCCTTGCCACAATGGGCAGAATACAGGATGTGTGCTTCAGTGTTGCTTCTTGTGCCCTATTTTTAGGCTCTATTTTGAAATTTTAGACCCAATTTTATCTTGTTTATGTATGCTCCCAGTGGGCTCTATTAAAACAACAACAACAAAAAAAAAAATCCATATATCCATCTCCTTCTGACCACACGCAGCTGTACTCTCCACTGTAACTGGGTGATCCATGTTGCTTTTTGCTGGTTTTCAAAATATTTCCGAAGCAAAACTACTGCAAGAGGTCCTTGTCTTTGGCCCCAAAGACCCCTGTCATGTTTTAACCAACATTATCCTCCAAGATAAATGCTCATGCAAACAATCTAGGTGTAATCTGTCTTAAAATTGTACAAACATAGAAATTCTCTTGGCAGCATCTTATTCCATCTCATGTCTATTGCAAAATAAAATCATTCCTGTTGTTTTGAAATCTGAAGATCATAGTACATTTTATAATTCCTTCTTGTCTTGATTGTGGTAATTCTTTTTTTTTTGGTAGTCGACCAATCAGTCTTGCCTCGCTTACAGCATGTCCAAAATGCTGCAGCCAGGCTGCTCGTTCAGAGGAGAACATTCCTCTCTTTTACTGGCCTCCCTTTAATGGCCACGAAACACAGAATTGATTAAAATTATTTTATTCCCCCCAAGTTTATATCACCAAACTCCTCAGCACCTATTTTACCTTTAGGCATCTGACATTTATTGTGCAATCACGCCTCTCAATTGCTTGCTTCCAATTAAAATCCAATGGCGATTTTTAAATTTTTGCCCCTAGACCTTGGAACTTGTTACCCTTCACTTTCAGATCTTCCCCTTCTATACACATCTTTGACTCCTGTCTTAAAGTAAAATTGTAGTATTTTGAGAAATATGCTTATTCACTGTCAGATGGAGACTTAGATGAAAGGCCCCAGAGGCCAAGAAATAGCCCAGCACATAACCCCAAAAAGAGCAAATCATCATTTTGGCACTTAGATTTTTGTACAGACTTAAACACTAAGATATGATATGTTAATTAGAAAGCTTTCGAGGTTCAAGAAGGTGTTTCTCCTCATTTACAGTCTTTGTGCTAAGCAAAGCTAACTAGCTGCTGGCTTAACTTATTTGAGTAAGGATTTGATTAACATTTGTTGTTTCTTTGAATAAGGATTTGATTAACATTTGTTGTTTTTAAATGTTAAACAAGAAAAGCCTACACAGTCCTGTGGCCACAGGACATAGTACAATTGGAAGAAGAATACTAGAGGACACAAGTTCAGTCAATTCTCATTTATGAGTGTTTTCCCACTCAGTCTTGTCTGGGTGATTAGTCTGTTTCTCTGTCACTGGATTTAGTGTTGATTAGGTTTGTGTGTCTGTAGGCAGTCTGTCTTGCTTTGTCTGCTCAGCAATGTTACCTATCATTGTTAATGCTTGTTGCAGTTCTTTTATTTATTCTGGACAAGCCACTGCTGCGGTATATGTTAATGTTAAACACCTAACAGTTAGCTGTTAGGTGTTTAGACTAGCAAATGCAAAAGCTTTGATGAATAAGGGAATTATTGGATCCCTTTTTGTTTGATATCAACTGTAAAAGGAAAAGGCTAAATATGTGTTTATCTGAAAGAATTATTAAATAAAATAAAATATATTTTCTTATATTTGTAACTGAGCAGCAAAACTACTTAACAGCTGTGTGTCAGCAGATATTGGACTGACTGTGGGATGCTACAGAATACATCAGATGTTGAAAATAGCTACTGATGGCTTGGTTTTCAACAATTTTTTACTTTATTCAACAAGAAAAAAAATGAAAAGGACGAAAGAGGACAAAGCAGTAGAGGAGCTATCACTGCAGAGACAAAATGCAAGCTGTTGTTTGTTTTGAACAATCTCGTTCAAACATTGAACTTCAAATATAATTGTACTGTGGTGCACATTTTTCCAAAATTATAACTTTGATTTCTAAGTAGATTAGTTTAACTTGCCAGTCAGTAGAAAGTTACGCAAAAAGCAAGATGAAAAACCTACTACTCTCAGTATTTCGTTACTTCAAACAAGGCTTAATGTTCACACAGTTTCTGACTGTCCCTCAATATTACAACATAAAGTCTGACATCGGCCCGGCACAGCGTGGTAAAGGCAAGTCCAACGGGCGAACCTACACAATGAACAGTAAAACAGCATGTGTGTAAAGTATAAAGTTGGGTCACAGACAGCGGGTATCGATGCATCATTGAGCTTGCCATTCTTTGAGAAAGCAGTTGCAGTCGTTGTGGGGACATTTCAGTCACATTTCTATCAAAAGTAAAATCAACTTGCTGGTTTTTAGCTTTCTCAGATGATGGGAGGACGTGCAGACTTTGTGCTAGTCTTTCAGCTAACATCAGAGCAGCTGTAGCGTTTAGCTCAAAGCATTTGGGAACAGCCGGCTCTTGCCGGGGAAACATGGCGGACACTCGCAAACGTAGCTCTCCGACTATGGGCCAGGGGTACTTAGGGGAGGTAGGTACAATGCTAGTGAACCCGTTTCTTATGTGGGAAGAGGAGCAAAATCTGAACGGCTCATTGAATCTCAGGTCTTGATATAGGCAGACCTAAAAAAAAAAAACTGGGTTGATATATGTCACAATTTCTGGGTTTGTACACTGTAACAAATTTCCTGTAGAATTTACAGTAAATACCAGGCAAAAAAGTTGCCAATAAAGTGCTGTAAAATGGACTGTTAATTACTGTAAAAATAATTACAGTATATTAATGGATACTTTTTACAGTTTTTTGGTGTATATAAATTACAGAAATGTATTGTTGTTTTATATTAGAAACAACCATTAATTGTATTTTAGTTTACAACATTATCTTGTATTCCATTCAAATTACATGAGTTACCTGGCAACTAATGTTGCCAGTAAATAGCTGTTACGTATTCATAATTCAGTATTTTATTGTAGAATAGTTTTACAGTTAATCTTTGTTTGTCACATTTAGCAAATTAAGCACACTGTGATTGCTGATAATCCAAAATGTATCAACACTACATTAGATTATTTTCAGCTGTTAAATAAAACAAGTCAGTGCTGCAAAAACAACATTTATTAGGACTCAATGCAGTGTATTACAATTATATGCAATACAGTGATTAGCAATATATGAAAATGGCGAACATTTAACTGTGACTGGATGGTGGACATAATTTAGGTGCAATCATTAATATATTCTACTGACCTTTTTTGTCAATTCCATCACATATTGGTAATTTCTTAATGCATTATGGAGGCTGAATGATTGTAAACAGGATTAAAGATTCGGGTTTTTCGTTAATCACATCATAGCACATGTTAATAACACTTTGGCTGTACCAAATGTCTTTTATTCATATTTGAAACTTGGGGTATTTGAAAAATTGTCACCATATTTTATGGCGCTGCTTTTGGTCAAACGGACAAGAACAGCAGAGGACTGATTGCTATGATTATGTAGAGTCACATGGGCATCTGGGCGCCCTGACATCCCACCACAAACACTACTCTTACAGTTTTCAGTACAGCATATACTGTGTGGGAGAGAGTGTATTGCATACCAGATGTGTATGAAATAATAGACTTGAGGTAACTTTCCTTTTTATGAACTAAAATCCATATCCATATTTTAACAATAGGCATAGGCATAGAAGGCATAAACCTAAGACAGACTGCACAAGAGTAGTGCAGCATAGCCACCCAGTGTAACTAAAATGTGTAGTAACAAAGTCAAACATGTTTAACATGTAAATAATATACTTATTTTGGAACCACTTTTGTTTATGAAATTTAGTGTGCCATTGTCCTTTCTTTTGCAACAGGCTCAAAGCCATTCAAAGTCCATTAATCTTTTGAGAAGTGAAGAGACATGAAGGCCGACACTGTTGTTCCTCTTCTCATGCACGTTCCCACTTCTTGACTGACCACTTTGTGATCTTTGTGCAGAGTTGGTTGATCCTAATGAAGCATCTGAAATCACAAAATCCGAGAAAAAGACACTTAATGAAATACATTGTTTGCAGAGGCAGCAGAACCCATCAAGTTGTGGAGACAAGCTTATCATTTTTCCAAATATGCAAAACTGCAAAAAAACTAAAATTTGCTTTAATTGCAGAAGTGCCGCATGAAAGCTGAAACATAAAGTGGCTTTGCAATTGCAATTACAATGAAATGCAGGAGTTTTTTATTCATAATGGAAAATGTAACAAAAATAATCCACTAGCCAATCCCTTCAAGCATTGGATGAATTCCAGTGTGCTCGATGCTTCCTCTTGGTACACCAGGTTGAAGACGTAATAGCACGAGAAAAACACTGCCATTCCAGCCACAATGTTCTGGTGTGGACCCACAACCACTTGGCCCTCAATGCTCAGCATCCAGTTTGTTGTCGTGAGAACGTCACCTAAACATAAATAAACATATGGTTTATTATATAGGTTCCATAGGTTAAACAAATGTCTCATTCATATAGCCCTCTGGTACCCTTTCAAAAACCATCCTAATTTGCACTTAAGGACATAAATGTCCTCTATAAACAACTGCTCTAAAAATGAATCAGACATTTTTTTCAGATTTTTTTGCACAACCCTTTCAGTCAACCTCTTTTCAAAAATACTAAACTTAATGAACTTTAATGAAGCATGGTCCGGATTTTTGAAAAAAAAAAGACTGAAAATGGCTGATTTTCAATATAAAAAATAATCGGAGGCTTGAGATTTTTTTACGTGGTATCAGACCCTTGGATGTGTCAAAGATTAGTAACAAAACTGATTTTGATGCATTATTAGTTTTTTTGTAGTTTAAGTGTGCCCTCTGCAGCAGAATCACACATGGGCATGGATCACACTTTTCTTCTTTGTTGTATTTTACCAAGATGCGCTCGACCTCATCTGCACTGGTCCCTGCTGTCTTGTGCTGGAAGAACCTAAGGATCAGCTTCCCCTTTTCTTCTACAGCCTTCTCCATTTTTTCCAGAATGTTAATGTCTGTGAGTAAATTGAAATGGCTGAACATCTCTCTCGGAGTGAAAAGATATGGCCACTCGGTCTTCAGCTCAGCAATTGAAGGAGGTGGGCTGGCATTGATGTTTTTTCTTTGTAGGTAGAAGGTTGTTTTCATTAACTGAATCACATATCCTCTCTCTGCTCCTTTCCTTTTTTTTTCCCTTTCTAACAAAGTATTTGTACTTCGTTACTAAGTATTTGTACACCTCTGCATATCGGCTTTCGCTCCAACAGTTTTCTAACTAACTAAGTTTTCTAAGGGTTTTAGATAAGTTAATGTGCTCATATTCCCTCGGTCCTGGAGGTGACGGACTAATGCTAGCGTTAGCTTAACTTAACCAGTTTTTCGCTAGCTAACATTTGCAAAAACGGGTCCCACAACCCGTATATACCGTAAAAAACACGACTAGGATAGATAAAACAATGTAAAATACAGTCACTCACACAAATAAAGAAACATTATTCTTACCGAAATGCTGGTTTTGCAGCTTCGTCTTCACTTTGCCTGCTTCGGTCCTGTCAGCAAAACACGTCTACGTTACACGCATATTCTGTAACTGACTTAGACGCGCAAACCAGTCTGATATACGGTCAAATCATATTGCATTAAGATCACATTTTAATTTTGTAGGCCAATGACGTCTTACTTGGCTTTATTGAGTACAATGTACAATGAATAGGAAATTTAAAAAAAAGAAAAAATATATATATAAAGAATATAAATAAAAATAAAAAAAATAGAAAATTAAGAAATACACCCCAGTTTGAATTCTGGAAGTTTAAAATGACCAGGTTGCAGTAAGTGTTTTGAGCAAGACACAGGAAAAGAGCCCAAAGGCTACCAAGGACAACACTCGAAAGCACTGAAGCCACTGTAGAGAAAAGTGAAGATATGGATCCAAATGTTCATAACTTCCCTCTGAAGAGTGAAGCAGACAGGTAGGGTACTCCAAGGGAAAAAATTCCATAAATTATCTTATGCCAGTTTTGATTTAGTAGGGGTTTGTTCACTTATCCAAGATAGAAAGATGTTCTTCCTTGCTGCATATGTGAGGATATTATACAGTCTGGTAGGCTAGCGTCCACAATAGTATTTGACTGGGGTAACCCAAGGATTAAAGAAAGAGGGTCCATGTGCAACACAAACACCAAATATATTTCCAATCTTGCAAAAACATCATCCAGTATGCTTGGATTTTAGGACAAGACCAGATACAATGAGTATAGGTGCCCACTGAGAATTTTACACTTTAAACATGCAAATGAGAGTTGAGAGTTCATTTTATGTCTTTTGTTAGGAGAGATTTGTAAACGGTGCACAATCTTAAATTGCAGCAATCTGGCACGGTTACACACAGATATTTTCTTTGTTTGAGTCCATCAAAAGCACTTTTACAGAAATACCTTGACAACCAGCATCTGCTCATCAGCTATTATCCAGTTACAGACATTGAAAGTTACTAACGCCCATGTTGTACAGCAAAAATTAACCTTTTGATGTTATTAGAATCCTTTGTTGTCGTCATAAACTATTCTTTCTTCTTGTTTATAGAGACGAAGGTAGATGTTGAACACACAGTCATAAAGTGAAGAGATTTTTTCAGTAAAATTTGAAAAAAATGCAGTGCTGTGTACATTAAACAGTGTGAAATCTATAACAGCTTGTCAGTCAAACAACATTGATCTGTTGCCACGCAGTATAGCTATTATAAAGGATAGTATCGTCGGCATAAAGATAAAGCCCATGTAGCAGGAATTTAAAACTGTCCAAAAAGCTAAATCTTTATTCTTTATTCAAACCATTTTGAGCTCGGATTAATCTCCTCGTCCTGCCCCAGCTGCCGTTCTGTGAAATTCCACCAACAAATTAGATTCCGAGGGAAATCCAATGCAAATGTGGCTATATCCTCAATCCTGAGCCATTCACAGAAACCATATCCGTGTCTCCCTTCATCTTGTTTTGAATACACCAGATGTAAACTCATACTCCACTCGCTGCCCGTCATGCAAATCCACAGGTGGGTCCAGTTTAAAATGAGCTCGTAGAGAAACAAAAAGGCCAAATTACAAACAGGAGATCCTCTTGAATGCAAAACCAAGAGAGGATGGATGTTGTTTAGATGCAAACACCAGCTTGGAAATACACAACATGTGTGATGGAGGTGTGGAAAACCTAAATGTAGATCATTTTTTATTGTTGTCTGTTTGGAGGATCTCTCTCAGGCTAAATCTGTGTTTAAACTTGGTGAATGAGTACCTGGTTGTCACTTAAACATAGATAACAGTACAAGAAGAAACCTTTTTAAGCATGTTAAAAAGAACTTAGTGACTATTTGAGGCAGTTTTAGTGCTCTTTAATCCATGTACAAACAGGACAGAAGGTAGCAGGAGGTTAGAGCAGCGGTTCCCAACCTTGGGGTCAGGACCTTCACTAGGGGTCGCCAAAGCTTCAAAGGGGGGTCACAAACCCTTCTTGATTTTAAAAGGTGTAAGGAAACAAAGTAGATCTGTATCTCAGCATATTGTTAATTCCTGTGAACTAAATGAAATTGTTATTTTTAAGTTAAGTTTGGCTAATGGGCAAGCTTCATGGAGAAGAAAACACTGAATTGTCAAAAAAAACAGACAGGGGAATTGTATAAAAATATCATTAAAACTCATCTGCGATCAGTATTCACAGGAAATAATCTCTGGTTTTACACAAACTTCCTGCAGTTATTGCGTTCACTGTTCAGGTTCATTGTACAGTTTATCAGCTGTTCTCTACTGTTGTTGTTATACATTGAATATGATGTGAAGAGTTTACTCAATGATAGAAAAGACGTTAGTGGCTTATTGTGACCACTAGATGTCAACAAATCCTGCACGCATTTTTATGCTTCCTTCCTACACTTGCTCAGTAGTATAAGGTGTACTCACCACAAGGTGCAGAGCAAAGTGAACGTCTGGCAGAACTCAATAAATGAAGGGTTTGGGTGCACAGCTTACTTTTGCTCTTTTTGTACCATTGATCCTAAAACTCTGCTTTTACCTCTGCAGATCCCGGACTATTCAACCACAGTGTTTGAGTTCGGTGAAGATGAATCTGTCTGAAGCCAACGACACCTTTACGTCGGACGCCTGGTCTGACTTCCCTCTCAGAGCAACAGTCTTGTTCACCTGCAACCTCTTGCTGGGTCTGCCCACTAACGTTTACGTGTTGTGGCAGATAGCCAGCGGAGCGGGTGGGTCCGTGGCCACGGAAATCTTTGCCCTCAATCTGTCAGTCTCTGAGATCCTCTTTCACATCTTGGTCATTTATGTTCTGCTGCACTTCCTGCTGAAGATGTCGATAGATGTCGGGATACAGGTACTGCTCTGTGGCGTACAGCTCATGTTCATTTCTCGATCCAGCTTCCAGAGCTGCATCTGCCTAGAGCGCTACCTGGCTGTGGTACATCCCACGGTCTTCCTCAGGTAACTCAAGAAAAGGATGAATGGGACTGATGAAATCTGTGTAGTTCTTTGTAGTTTTACCTTGGAAAAAAAAGTACTTCCTTTTAGCAAAAGTTATTTTATATAAAATCAACCATAAATCAGCTCGGTACCGCTGTCGTCAAACTGTCCTCTGTCTGTCTCAGACAGCAGTCAGCTAACGGCAGTTATATTAGCAATTAGCTGACAGCAGCTACATTAGAGTTAGCTAACAGTAGTACAGTTAGAGTTAAGGTAGAGCAGCCGGAGGACGT